AGATAGACGACACTGGATGTAAAATTAGCTGTAAGAATGAGCTTGAAGTGCTGTTTGCACAAAGGGAAAATAGCCAATTGTCTTCTGACTATCGTAATTTACCTGTTTAATGAAATTCATGGAACAAATCACTGGATCGAGGCAGAAGAGCTGAAAATCTTATTCGAATAGTCCCCGAATGGAGGGTGGAAAATTTATGAGAGCGACNATGAGCTTGAAGTGCTGTTTACACAAAGTGAGCATGGCCAATTGTCTTCTGACTATCGTAATTTACCTGTTTAATGAAATTCATGAAACAAATTACTGGATCGAGGCAAAGAGCTGAAAATCTTATTCGAATGGTCCCCGAAGGGAGGGTGGGTAATTTATGAGAGCGACTGGGTAAAACTGAGAAGCAAAGCGGTCACTTTCTTTGTGAGAAAATAACAGTGCAATGATCACAACACACTACAAGCAAGCGCAATTTTATTCCGGAATCATTTCGCTGCATCTCAGCTGTTACTTACTGCAGAATATAAAACAGTTCATATATCACAGATGTTGATCATCTTGATAGTCTTTCCCTCGAACTTTCTTCCTTTCCAATCCCCTGGAAACGCCGTGAGTTTTTATTTAGTTTTAGTTTTGAATACTTTCGAAAGTCCAGAGATGAGGGGAATGGGTCGGTAATCGTTCCGGTTAGAAAGGTCGTGGTGACCTTTCCACGTTCGAGAATTAAAATCACTGTATTCACTTCGGAATCAGGCCCACAACAGAAATCTTTCAATGCACATTCACTTCATTGACCGGGGTATGAAAGCGGCAACTTCAAGCATGATCATGACATTGATCAGTTGCGAGTTAAATGACCCTGAGACTCCAAAATAGCCACCAGTCTAGTCTGATTTCATCTAAGGTATTGAAATAGTCAAATCAGTGACATCGCTTCATGTAACTTAACCAAGCAATCACGTGAGGAATTCTTTTTACGAATCATAATTCTTAAGACTAATGACAAGTTTCAAAGTCTGCGCCAAAAATAAAAATCAAACAGTGTGATCAGTTGCCGGGTGCAAAAGCGGGTGTTATACGTGCATTCTATCTATGAGCTAACAGGTTTGATTCACAGTGGGTTCAGTGGATTCGCTGTGCTAATGTCACCAAGCCCGGTCGAAAGACCTCCCTGGCTTTTCGGTTTACGTTTTACTTTTCACACGTTATATCCATTTCGTTATTATTCGTACTATTACTATTATTACTGAAAGATAGCCGAGGAACGCCATGTGTGGTAAATAAAAATTTAAATTAAAGTATAGCATGCTGAATATAAATTTTTCGCGATTCCGACCCTGTGTCAGTTGACTCTTCTATGCCTGTTGAAAATACACATTATTGTATCGGTTCATTTCTAACAACAGAACTCATTATCATCTTAAGTATAATATTTGTTCATAATTTCTAGACCACAGATTTTGCATGATTATTCGCCAATTTGAGAGGGACTTTGATCAATCGACGAAGCCACAATTCCGGATAGAGGCGGTTAAGCTATTGTGGAATATTGTATAAGATAAGCTGATCACACCGAACTAATCTTAAGTACTATTCGATAGGCTCAATCCTTTTGTACTTCGATCGTCATTAAAACTGGAGAAGCTAACATCGATTTGATTGGTTTTTTCAGTATTATTGAGTGAGATATTTTCGCAAATAATAGTTGTAAAGGGTTCAAAATAACCACCACTATGTTGAAATCATTTCCATCACTGATAACGAGGTAGATGCAACTTTTGATGAACTCTGTACGTAAGCATTATATCCAACTATTCCAGATACTCAGCTCATTTACCTTGATAATCCGTAAGGTTGATAACAACTACTCTAACTTTGCAAATTACGGATTTAGATTGAGCGTTAATGTGACCAATAATTATTCATTTTTTCTATTTCATTTCTGTCCAATTCACATACGTAAACTTTTATCTTACCTCATCAGGTGTCCGTAGCTACGAGGTCAGTTTGCTCGTGCAGAACAAAAGTAAACCGGTGGACTGGAATGTGTCACTCGCAAACCCACTGAGCTCTGCGTACAAAAATATCTCGAATGAAGTGATTAAGGTGGTATGTTCTCGAGTGACACTGCCTTGCATTCTCTTTTCTCTTGAAATCAATGTTGATTGTCCTGTTCTTACGATTGACCGCAAATGCACAGCACCATAGACTGGTGTGAATCATGTGTGTGAATGATACTCGAGGCTTGCACTGCAAACATAAAACCGGGATGGTCATTATGATCGCATATTCGATGGAGTAATTCATGTTGTTTAGGATTCTTCCTCATCTTCCCCACCAATAGCATTATCCTGGTAGTCGTCATCATCCTGTCCGATTCCAATAGCGGTACTGTTGGAGGCAGCGTGACCTCTACATCAATATTTTTCATTGAAGTGCAGCATTCTTCTAAAACAGGACTGCTTTGTCAATTTCGTCGAGGGACCATATACTGCATGCACGCAGCTTACATAAGAAGTTCAACCCCTTAAGGTCAACGATTTCATTCCCGACTCTTAGGCCTTCTGAATCGGAAGATTGTAGTAAGATATTTTAAACTTCTATTAGTGCATCTCTGAAAATTTCAGAGCTCATTCTCTCATCAAGAAATTCATTCCTTATGGAGAACGACAACTAGCTCAACTTAGCCACGGCATTGCCCAAACTCTGATACATATCTTCGAATATTATCATAATTAAAATCATGAACTTCCCCTGATAAATATTTAAATGTGCCCAACGTTTTACTACTGGGTTGTTGTAATTTGAACTCACGTTTTTTGGCCTATTTTACCACAACTGCCCATGTGATGAAGAACTTCAATGATGATCAAATCGATTCGGAATTTCGCTTGTTTGTTTTTTCTTTCCAGTTAGATGCATCCAGTCGGTTGGGTAATGATTTGGGTTTAGTTGAAAGCTACTATGGAAGCGAATTTCTGGGCTTTGGTAACGGTACCCTCATGGCCAGGATCAAAGTCAAATTTGATCTGGACGATGCAATAGCCAAAAACTACTCGGAATCAATGATCCGGCAACACATTGTATCCGGTGGAATGGCTGTATTGCGCTCAGAAAAGGCGCAGATACTAAATGTCCCCACGGATTTCGGGGTCACAAATACGAGCTACTTCACACTGAAAGGTCAGTGCGTAGTGTCATCACTCCCGTACACTTTTCTCTACCTTGTTTTTTCTATTTTTTTGATCAGCTTGCGATTCTTTTTTATTTTAGTTTTATTTTACATCATTGTGTGAGAAATTAACCTCGTGGGTTCATGATTTACCGCTTCAATAAAAGAACNAGAACTCCTTGAGTGTGATTCGGAGTGATGGTTCCAACAAGATAAACGGGATATCGCACCAGATCTCAAAACCAGGTCCATTCAAAGCAGCTGCGGATTCTCCAAAATGCAACAGTCATAAAATAGTTCATTCAGTTGACAATGAAGGTGCAGTGATTGGTACAGAGACAGGGTTTCACTAATCAGCCATTCACATTAGTTCTGATTACAACAGCACGAAAACAGAGTCACCTGCCAGGATTAAGTGAGTTCTCAGTTCCCTTAGAAACTGAACAAAATATCGACCAAATTCTTCAGAAAGTTCACTTTAGATAGGTTACGTAATGATGATCGGAGATAAATTCCAAGGGTCCTGTAAACAGTTGATATGCTATTTTCTATTTTGTTCTGATCTTCAGAAAGCGTTTTGTCTCTCAGTTTGAGAAACTGTTAGAAAACTGAACTCTTTACAGACAATACAATATTTATTGATCTCTTCACAGTAGACTGGTGTAAATATTGATTATCTGCTGACGGTTTTGACGGTAGCTTTTTGGAAACTGAAGTAATCCTGGTATGTGTAAATACAGATTTGTGGAGAAAGTTTTGACGCCCAAATACACGCGTTAATTTACTGTCGAGTAAAACAAACTTATATAACTAACCAGAATTTCCGTGCTAATGAACGACAAGTTGATATCCGATTGATTGGTCTCTATCCCAGTAAGAACGAACTATTACCGATAAGAATCAGTCTTTTCCAGAAGTCGTCCGTAAACCAAAATGTTTGCATTGTGTTATTATTGTGATTAATTTTGTGCACCAACCTAATTCAGGTCTATGACATCCAGCACTGAGAGCTTTTCGTTAGACTGGCTGTTGTAGTTCATCTCTTCACCGAGGTAGATAATAAAACTACAAAGTCCGACTCGTTGTTATCATGCGTGAGTGGCTGGATTATTAAACCAGCAGGAAGAGCATTAATCCCCTAGATGCAACCCTGAATTCATCCATTTGTCCCCGTTTCTCTCTAACTTTTAGCTATCAATCCTTGCCTAACGGGTAACAATGACTGTTCAATGAATGCACTGTGTACAGTGATCGCCCCTGGAGTGTACACATGCACGTGTAAAGCGTTCACAATCGACTCAAGTATGAGCAAGGCCTATCCGGGACGAAGATGTGTTTGTGAGTGAAGCGACTATGCTCTCCCGCCCCACATCAAGAATGAATTCAGTGCTTTATTTGAAAATTAGTTCTTCTACACTGTCCAGTACAATACCAGTTAGACCTATACAGGATAAGACATGTTTCATCAGATATTGTCAACTTGCTTTACATAATGGTAAACTAAATCAATATGAATATTACAGGGGATTACCTGAAGACAATATTGCTGACTCAGGCTCAGCAGTTTGATTGAAATTTTGATAAGGATTTTTCGACAACTGAAGTTGGAAGTATCCAAGAAATTTGATCTAGTTAGTGCAAATTTATAGGGTCGGTGTCAAGATCTCTTGTAATGGGTTTTGCTCCTTAAGGTAATTTGTTGTTTTCAAACATTACTATTTGCAGTTAATCTGTATATAATATCTAGCAAAACAAACTTCCGATGAGTGTAGTCGACATCGATTTGTAAGTGTAAACCCACAAAACACTATAAGACTGCTTCACAATGTCTCACCATCAGATGTAACTATGAGATTTCCTGGTGCTGAAAATGATTCTGGAATTACCGAAGGATATGGAACATCTGATTAATGTAAGGGTTATATAGAAATATTGATAGGATGAAATCCAGATATTTAATCACGACGACTATTGACTTTTTACGTCCTCATTAAACCTTCTTTGTGATACGGAATAAAAATTATACTTCCGGATATCGACTTCATCAGTTAAATAATATAGTTTTTAGTTTCAGTTTGTACAGCCATTAACCATGCATTTTCATGCGTCAGTTTTGATTGTTATCCTTTGGCTGCCCTTTGGGATAAAAGAGCAGAGGGAAGAAAAGCATGTTGCGTGCAGAGTCGAGGAAGATAGAGAATACGCATGGACTAATGTTGCAAAGATGAGTACAGTGTAGATGCACAAGCGCTACTGTTTACGGCACCCAGCCATATCATTCACTGTCTTTAACCACCGGTTACGATGACCTCGGGGTCCACAGAAGACCTAACGCGGTCTATGTGAGCAGGTCTCCCGGTTAGGGTTTTCTTACCCCCATAGTTTAGTTTAGGCACTGTACTTTTTCGCACTCACTACCTGCCTCGGCAAACATCGCGCGTCGTAAAAACCTATTTGGTGGCATGCGTAACAAGTGCCCCAATGAACGTAATCTTGCCTGAGTAGGAGTCATCTGGGGTTATTCGGGATTGAGAGGAAGAACTAAACAGATGGGAAACAGATTTTTCTTAATGGGGGTCTAAGACTTTGGGGCACGACATACTTTGCGGTAGCACACACCGACGAAGGGGGTTTTCTTTGGTAAGTATGAGTGGAGCCTTTGACTCAGTCTGACTCTCAAGGCAGCGGGAATTTGTGGGATTTTATTGAGGAATCATAACAGCAGCCTTCGACTCAAAATTTTGACCAACATGACAGTGGGACTTGGATCCAACGCGGAAGCCTGACAGAAGCATCCGCGTTGGAACTTCGAGGTCTTCGGGTTTCGGTTCATATGTTGTTCGCTGGTGCGTTGTTTAACAGTCTGCTGTTCGGGATTGGCCCTTAGTTCCACGCACCCAATGAGACAAGTGGAATGTGGTCTGGACAGTACCTCATTGACTGGGGGCTACCCAGCTTAGGTGAGCGGTAGCTGTCCAATGAGATGTAAAAACTTCTCCCACCGTCGAGAGGAAGCCTCATGAACCATGCTCCCACGTCCATCTAGCAGGGTATTTTGACCGGTTAAATGCCCCTCGCCATGTTTATTTGCTGGAATGATCTATCCATGGGTTTGAATGGATAAATAAAGGAAGCCAGGAGGTGCCCACACAGCTGGTCTTGTAAGACTGAGATTCATCTGGCCTCTACCCATTAACCATGTCTGTCGAAAGCCATCCTGTGCAGCTGGCAGGGTCATGGAGGCAAGCCATCGCACCACGTCAGATGCAGTCTCGTCGTGATGGCAACTAATGTAGGCCAATTCTTGGAGCGCGTCTAATTTGCTGGCCTGGATTTGGTCTATAGCAGTTAATTAAACTTTACTAAACTGACTTCAGAACCCGGTGAACGAAGGAAGTCGAGCCTATCGACCAAAACCACATACTTTGACACGTCTATACTTAGCTTGCGCTTATTCGTATTTTCGTTGTTGCTACTCATAAATAGTATAGAGTCTAGAAACCCAATCCCATCTCAGAGATCCTCGAAGGCAAACATATACCAGGAGGATAGAAATGATGAAACAACTGCCGGTTGGAAAGTATATAAGTGAACAGTAGTGCAAAGGCTCTTAGGTCGTGGATACGTTCCTATTGATAGTCAAATGACATCTTTTTATCTGACAAAGTATTGAAAATTGGTTCGGGCAGTTCAGGTCTACTGAATACATTTTCACCGGCTCTCCCTGGGTACTTGTTGCCACACAACAAGCGTTGACGACACCAGCTCGGTTGATTTTGAAACCTTTGCAGATAGATTGCAAATTTTAACCAGCAGGGAAAATTAACTACTATTTGAAGGGGGATAAAAATCACATGGAATGCAATGTGACTAGTAATTTTTGTTATACTTTAAATACCGAGTTAGCGCGTAGAATTTACAATGGACAAATAAGTTTTGCAATTTGAAACTTTTTAGCAATTTGTATACAGTAACAATTGTGTTATTTATTCAACTGATTGAATACTTTTACTCCACCAAAAACCGTTGTTTACTCTGCTTGATATTTCTTTAATCTCCCTCCAACCATACTTTGTACTTTCAGACGATGGTCTTATCATATTCACATTCATTCTGGTTGGAAGTTTGGTTTCTATGCTGATTTTCTTACTTTGCGGCTGTCGACGAACAATTTGGTATCGATACAAAAACCGTGGTCATCCAGAACACTTGACCCTGGTGAATATGCCTTCAAACTACGATATATGATTGTAATCCAATCTGAAAATACCCAAACAAAACCTGATCCCACCGATCCGTTTGTATTGCCCATCGTTTCGTGATCGGTTTCAGTTTGAGTCGTGGACTACGTGTGTCTTTCGGTCCCGTCCAGGAACTGTTTTTTGTGATCCACATTCGCATACTGACACCATGTTTGCGATTTTTGGACAACCATGACCACTGAAACGTTTGTACAAATTTGCTACTTTTTACCCATTTTTGTGAGTTTATACAGACAAATTTAAGCAATATAAACGCCATTTAATAACTTGTTTGTCATGGCGCTCTGCAATATGAATGGTGCCTGCAACATGGGGGATCGTATTGCTTCCATGTAATTGATAAACACATGTTTGAAAGCGCTTTGGGACCTACTCATTTTCCAAATTCATTCATATTCAACCCCAAGGTTTGAGTAAGAAATGGTTAATAACTGTGGAACTTGTAATGAAACGAAATGGTTCCCTAGGTAACTGAAACCAAGTCTGATGCAACTGCATAGCTTTTAGAGTGAGAAAACATTTCAAATATTTTTCTATTTCTACGGTAACCATTTAAGGTTCCGTTCAATATTTACAATTCTGAGATTATTACGTGTGATTCGCTGAGTAAGAAATCCCATTTCGGTCGTGTTAATTGAGAAATAGCAAACCTTTCTTCATTATTTGTAACGTCCGAATCAAGCAGTATAACTTGAAGAAGTATGGTATTGTCAATTCAATTATAGCTCTATCTTGATTGCATCGAGACAGACCTATGCACAGTACACGCATTTCCCAACATTCATAGGCATTTGCTGTTTAATTTACAGTTAATTGTAAGTTGTGGTACGAGATAACATAATAGAGATATCTGCTGATTATCTTTTAGAAATTATGCTTACACAAGCTCATCAGGCGATCCGGTGAACAATACACGCGAGCTTTAACTGGGGGCATCTACCACAAAACCTACATAGAAAATCATTTCGATTGAACACTTTCGATAGGAGTTAACATTTAGCTAATTTTCACCGTTTGTTGTTGAGGGCACAAATTAACTTAGTGAAATTGAAGGTTATATGCAAGCAAAAATTAATCAGTAAGTCGGCTTAGCCCCGCCATGAACTGGTTTTCACAGGGCTGAAACATATATTTCAACCGAGAGATTCAGAGTGGAACTCCTGGATTGATGGGTGTATATTTCAAGCCAAACAATTGCTTTATTCTATCGGTAAAGAGGTGCGTTTCTATCAGATTTTATTGCATTGCCGAAAACAGTGATGAGAGAAGAAGGAGATTATGAACACAGCAAGATACAGATTCATCAAGGAGATATTTTCAATTAGCTGAGTGCTCTGACACGCTTTGCATTTGCCGAGATTTATCGCACCAAACACCTCGTTAAGTACGGAATGACAGACTGACGTTACAAATTTGTGAGTCCGTAACACCTCTTACTTGGGGAACATGCAGAATAATGAGCTCGACGTGTTGAGAGGGTACGATTCCATCTAAAATGTGCTTCTACATAGATCCAAGGATTGGTCAAAGTGTCCCTGAAATCGGCTTTGTGGGAATATTTTTTTAAAATTTTTTAGAGCATGATGGTTTGCAAATCAATCGCTCTTATTGTGTAATCTTGCAATGTTTTACTTTATCGCTTTGTAGGAGAACTCCCACAAATATTTACGCAAGGTTTTACTGGTAAAAGTTTTTACTCATTAGCAATCAAAATTCAACCTCAATCAAAATGTAAATCCATAAATTTGAACTACATAAGGAAATCTCATGGGGATAGTTTCATTGCATCAAGGTGAAAAGTATAAGATGCATCAGTTGGTTCGAGATTAGGCGGTGAATTTGTTTCCATCTGGTTTTCTCGAGTAACCTCCATTGGTGGTTTGTGAATGGTGCCCCTCTGAAGTTGAAATGTGAGAAGGAACAATGTATACAAATCAGTCAGTCTAAATTTGTGATAAACGCATATTAGAATTTTGTTTTTTGTCAATACAATCTGTTCAAATTTTATTACATTTTGACTGTTGTCCAACATCGGTTTCACCTGGCTGATTAATCCGAACAAATAGTTGCAAATTTAGTTCGGTGGAAATAGCAGTTTTTTTAAGACAAACAAAAACTGCATAGAAGTCAATATTCTTCACGTTCGGTCTTTTTGCCAGTGGTCGAATTCGGTGGGAGATTTACATTTAGTTTCACAATATAAAAATGACCGATGAGATTATCAAATCTTTTAACTGACCGTTTCATCTACCTGAACACTGTCAGACAGCTCTTCAAAAAGAAACAATGAGAAAATTGAAGAGCTAGAATCTGCAACATCTGGTCGAAATTGGACACGGAATTGACCCAGAAACATCATTTACAAGGTTTTCACAGCACCTTGGGACGACACCAAAGGATCACACAAGAAGATACTGACAATTGCGGAATAAAAGCAATTTGGATCATGAAGCTGAGGTTATGCAAGCAACGTAACTTGGTTTAAGGTCTACTGTTGACCATAGGAGTGCTTATCCGATATTTCCGTGTGACAGCGTTTCTCATTTTACTCCTTCCCTTCATTTTCTGACTTTTTGTTTACAATTACACATCCGTTTTTTCGTTCTTTATTAATCCCTTTCATATCTAACTCAGCACATGTGCTGTTTAATCTTCTTTTCCCATCTGTTGTGTCTGCCGGACTATCACCGAATCTTGTCTCACGAGATATGCTCCACCGATTCGCAAAACATTGCAACTGTTTCGAAGCGCCAGAGTAGTGCGTTGATTCCGGGAGAAGCGCGCCATATTTATAGGGTTGCGAGCAGCCTAGATCTTAATCGAATGGAAAATACTCGATCGCCGATGGAGCGAATGGACTGATCAGCTTGCAGTATTCTGTCCATTTGCCTGGATTCTATCAATCCATTAACATCGAGAAAACACCGACAATTCCCCTCGGTGGAGATTGGTTTAACTCCACTTTGCGGGGATTTTCAGGCAAAATTCTTTTTTAATGCAATAGAAATGTTTGTGATAACCAAAAAAGAGTACTGGACAGCATAAAAATGCATAGAAAAACAGTGGGGAATTTAACGATCTCCTAAGGAGTGAAACCCACATCGAACATCATCAACGGTGCCTGGTGCCTGTGAAAAACCGAATGGGCTGATCCAAACATTCACCACCAAAATTATGTTTTCTCGGACACTATTTATTTATTCGGGCCTCACAGTTTATTGTCAGCCAAACATTTCACACACACGCGCACTCATTCAACAAGAGCTTAAGTCACTGAAAAATTGAATATATCCAGAAGTCAAAAACCTAAACACTTCATTGAAAATCTCCACATTTAGTTTCTCAACCGAAAAACCTCGGGTTGCCCTGCACTGCTTATTTCTTTTATCAATACATTACCCATCATAAAGTTTATTATTTTCAGCTATTGAACCAAGAACGTGGGGTTGAGCACCACACGGTTTGATCGTGCAAATCCGTATTTAATAAACAGCCTGATGTACCAAGTTTATCATGAGAAATTTCTTGTAAACAGTATTCATTCCTTGGGTTGTTGCTTTTCCTTTACACTCGTAGACTGCGAATAGCTACATACTCATTCCATTCCGCATACTCACAAAATTGATTGTACTCACCTACACACCTGATTACTCTACCAGCTTTGCATACTTACCACGGTGGTGATCAATGACAACAATCCATCAGTTTAGTATACTGAAGACCCATAATTCAAATCCTATCGTCGTTGCCACTGCGGCTTCTATCATCTCTAATAATCACGATTTATCTTCAGAGCGAGATATTGTTCAACACTTAAAATTCTCACTCACCTAGAACCTCAACAGAATGATATAAATGATCTCGACGATCACTTGTCCACATTCGAAACGGTTGTTCCTTTGGCGGCTGTTCTTTAATATGTACAATGGGTCGGTTCTTCAAAATTCGACTGTAATTAGATGTTACAAAGGTCGGAGGGAAATCGAATTTAATAGATACATTATTAGATAACTCAACAAGTTGTGAATAAACTCCATATTTTGTTATCCATTTTACCGAGTTTTGAACTCTACATTTTTCGAATCACGATCCCTTGTAAGAAGTGATGCGTATGAATTATTGTTGGTGTTGAAATTTATTGAAACCATTGACAATAGTTTATTTCGCACTAATACTCCAGATTGTTGGAGGGTTAAAAATGTAACATTATCCCCAATTTAGTCCTATTGGAATTGTGGAGGATGCGCATTCAAACCCGCATGCAAGACTGGAATCAGTAAATGTCCAACTTTCTTCCTGTTAAGACAAAACCTGACAGAATATGATAAAAATTGTCGGTTTGTATATTAATAAGTAGTATCTGAATGAATGAACAAAGTTTCACCGGAGGCACATGGTCGACTTCCTGCATGTCATCAAACATGCGTACCCCGTAAACTTTTATTTCATTTATATATGTACACCTACCCAGGAAGTGTATTTTTGACGCAACAAGATCTTTGGTAATGCTGGTAGTGTGTATTTATTTGAGCATTTCCTTCTGAACTAATCCATACATGTATCAATACTTTGATTTAATGTTGAACAGGTGTATAAGATGTTACTGACCACAACAAAATTTATTTAAATGTCTGAATATATGTAGCACATTTAAGTAAACTTTATTAGGTGATTTTGGTCAACCCTAGTGTCTACCAGTGTGCACACGGGCAGTACACACTTTATATATAACGGATTCGTGATTCAAACGCGGAATGAGCAGGTGAAGTATTTATAAGTCCTAGGCATAGACATATTCTAGCCTGGTGCTCCCTTAGGGTATTCCTGCTTGGGTGAACTGAAAATTGTCCCAAAAATGGATTCTAAAGGACGATCATTGAGAATCAAAAATGGCAAATCTATCTCCAGTTCAAAAACATTTAATCTCAAATCAGCGAATTTGGTCAAGCTGTGATTCGTACGTCCTAACTTGTAGGCAATATATCT